AACTAAACATGTTCAGGACTTGGATAAGGGATTTCCACAGATATTTACTATAACTTATCATAAATGTGCTGTTTGTTGTGGATATTCAAAGCTAAATATCAGTATTGGCAATTCTCTGTCATCAGCCACTACAGAAAGACAAAAATCCCGCTCTGATCTTGAAAAAGTCTGTCTAGCTCTCTCCTCTCCGGCCTCGACTCCAAATCCACTGGGCTCCTCACTGGTTTAACATCAACACATGACCCTGTTTTACTTCCCTTTCCCTTCACTGGCTCCTCTGTGTTTAAGAACTGATTTGAAGACTTTTCTGATCACTTTTGAAGCTCGTTTAGGTCTTGCATCAAGTTACATTTCAGAAGTTTTAACCCTGTACGATCCCACAGCCGCAGATCCTCAGGCAGGTCCCTGTGACTGTTCCAAAGTCCAGGCTCCGGACGAAGGTGCTGGAGCCTTTTCAGTCCAGGCTCCTCGGCTTTGGAACGACCTGACTGAGGAGATAAGACTCACACCATCACTATCTTCTTTTAAATCACTTCTTAAGACTCGTTTTTATCGGCTGGCCTTCCTTTAACTGGTTTTGGCTTGATTTTAATCCATATTTCTTTTTATTCTATTTCTTTTAATTTATTTATTATAATGTATTGGACTGTTTGCATCATTGTCTGTTTTGGTGCTTTCTGTTTGCATTTTTTTAAATACTTTTTGTATTGTTCTTTGTGGATTGTACAGCCCTTTGTAAACTTTGTTTTTAAATGTGCTTTACGAATAAAGATTTATTATCAATCTATTAATGCACGGAACATCTGTCTGTGTTTCCTCCTGTTGGTTTGTTTGTTGGTTGGTTTGTTTATTTGTTCCACGCACAACTCACAACTCTCAAACCGCTCATCCGACTGATCTCAAATTTGGACTGGTGTGTCTGAAATGGGACGGGTTTTTCATGTTGTTGTTAAAGATCTGGCCAAAGATCAGGTTATTATTGATATCAGATAACGGCTTAAAAAAAATCCACATTTGACTATCTCTGTTTCGTATGGCTCAAAAATATCTTTAAAAAAACGTGCATATTTCCTGTGAGCGGGTTCGCCTTTCCATAGATACTGTGAAACATTTCATTCCTCCACCGGAACATGGAACTGTGGCTGTCAACACTTTATGAATGATGTCTATAACGAGAAGATGAGAAGAACCCAAAACAATAAAATGTTCTGAATGTGTTTGTGAGAACCTCTATGTTAGGAGAAAAGTGCTAAAGGAGAGCTAGTGTGAAAAAAAAAAAAAGTTATAGTAGTTTCTTCTCATGGACCGTCAGAAGTTGTATTTGGAGCGATTCGTGCCTGTTTGAGTCATCATTAATCAGTTATTTTCAAGATGCCATTTTGCTGATCAATTCCAGTTTTTCACCACCAACTGCTCTGTGCTTACTTCATTCTCCAATAGTATTTAATTTAATCAATGGCACACGTAGTTGTGTTATCATTTTGGTACAAATAAAAAAAACAATACAAAAAACAAAACAAAAAAAAACAACAACAACAACTGGTAGATAGAGAGATGTACATCCAACAAAAATTGTGACTGCGTGCTGGGTCCAAAGACAAAAACTGTGCAGGACTCAAGACCCGGGGCTCTTATACATACATAACAGGTGTAAAACTTTCATGTCACATCACATTGTGGTGTCACTGAACTGAAAAATTGGGAGCTTCAAAGAACTGCAGTGATCTCCTTCTTCTTTTGCACAAATGAAAAAGAAATCCACTCCTTGCTATGTCAACTATTGCCAACTCTTTGTTATTGTGATGTTTGCGGCGACATCAGCTCCCAATGGGCACCACAGTTTTCTAACGCTCTTGTTTCTTTTGTTAAGCTGCACATCAGGTTTGTGAAGTTGTAGTGTGTTGTGCTTTTGTATATTTATGGAGACTTGTCGTGTGGGAGCATGAGTGACGTAGGCTTGTGGGCGGAGCTTTGGACAGAATCACTGAGCAAACTGTAAGGAGGCTTTGAATAGAGATCGCTAAAATATTCAAACATGCACAGATGACATCTTAAACCTCTTCAGGCATATTGTAGATTTTTCATAATAGCCCGTCTTTAAAGAAAGCAGAGGAAGTTGGGGCCATTCAAAGTGAGACTGCTCTGTAAACAGACATTGTTTAGCCCAAAGCCTGCGTGTGTAGTGGCCATTACTGCGCTCTGCTTTGTATACATGTCCTATAATTGTCCAAATGATACGGTGGTGCAGCTGTCCCATCAAAGTCCACCCCGTCAGCTCCACTGCACACACCGAAACTAAACTCTGTTCCCAGGCAGGTGAAGCCCTCCTGATCCCCTCGCACAAACACACACAAACGTCACACACACACACACACAGCCAAATGTCATCCACACATGCACACACACACATGCGCACATAGATAAAATAAAACAAATCAAAGTGGGAGTTGTTAAATGTGCACCAGTCTATTACTGCACTTATTTAAAAAATGTTAGACACACACACACACACACACATACACACACACCCATGCACACACCCCCACACACTTCATCCACACACACACATAGATAAAATAAAACAAATCAAAGTGGGAGTTGTTAAATGTGCACCAGTCTATTACTGCACTTATATAAAAAATGTTAGACACACACACACACACACACATACACACACACCCATGCACACACCCACACACACACACTTCATCCACACACACACACACACACACACACACATAGATAAAATAAAACAAATCAAAGTGGGAGTTGTAAAATGTGCACCAGTTTATTACTGCACTTATTTAAAAAAATGTCAGCCATAAGGTTTGATGAGGTTTGACTAAGACTCGTCCTGTCTGTGCTTCAGGGGACAGAGGAAATGAGCTAAATGATGTGAGGTTACAGAGAGGTCACCGTTCTGTCAAGGCTCAAGCAGATGAACAGAACACTGCATCACACTGAAAACAGAGGAGATGTTTCACCTACACATGAAATGATTTCTGATTTTGTTGTACCATGGTAAACTCAAAGCTAGAGTCATACCAACATACCAGTCAGTTTTCTAGATGAAAACATCATTGATAAAGGCTTATTATACTTCATGTATTTTTATTTTATTTTACCGCACGTCTTTAGTTTTTATGTATCATTGTTTTGTGCTAGCCTGATTCATCAGCTGGTTTCACTTCGTACAAACTGACTGACCTCGCAGTGTTCAGGATTCGTTCACTCTATGGTAGGCGGGTATTTTTATCATTTAACCAATCGCTGCTATTTGGTCGTGATGTATGTAATGTGACGCTAACGGGGATAACTGGTATATTAAGCTTTTCCCAAATCCTGTAGCAAGAAGTACAATAGAATAATAACGTCTTTCCCCTTGATAAAATTCACTAAACATTCTCTTTTGTTCCATCTTTAAATCCTCGATCTCGGGAATAGTTGCAAACACTGAATGTCTGGCTCTTGGTACCAAAACTCGCACTTGCATGGTTTTTACGAATTGTCTCGTGTATTCTGTTTCCTGACCTAGTCGCTGGAGAGAAAATAAATTGAGTAGAGGCACTAGGTGGCGCCAGCCTGACTAGATTTGCACTACACTGCAGAAGCAACTTCAACATTTGCCAATTCTGGCAAATGTTAAAGTTCCTCTCGTACCGGAGCCAGAAAAATGAACAACTTACTTGTTTTAAGGAGGAGACTGAGAAGGAGAAGGACAAGGTTTTTGGCTGTGATGTTTTGTGGGGCAGCGGCAGCAATGTCCGTTGAAAGGAACGTGTGGATGTGGAGACGGAGCCAAGAGTGGTGAGTGGTGATGTGCTTCACTTCAGTGACACAGAGTTCATTAACAGTTTTCACCTGCTTCAGCGCAGAATAGTGACGTTTGTGGCTTGTTGATAACGTGTAGGTGGGTGAATGCATTTTGACAGTTCAGACTGAAGTCACATGTCAAAAGATCAGATATGTATCAGTTTTAGGAGCACATATCCAAGTGTCCTGGGTCACATTTGAAAAAATGTGATCTGTGTCATTCAGACTGTCATTAAAAGATCAGATACAGGAAGACAGAGGCCAAAAAATCGGATTTGGGTCACTTCAGGCTGCAGTCTAACGCAGCCTAAGTGTCTTGCCCAAGGACACAACGACAGCATTCATCTGTGGGAGCTAGAATCACACCAGCCAACCTGTGGGTCAGTGGATCTGACCACTCAACCTGTGATGTTTATGTCAAAATCTGGATTCGAACCACCAACCTTCAGATCAGTGGGCGAATGCTCTACCAACTGAGCTACTGCCACCCAAGACAAGACAACTCCAGTCTGTTTCTGCGGATGTAATATTATTATAACATGACTAAAGCTCACCAGAGTCCATGTTTCATACCACAGGAGCTGTAATAGTTGTCTTGGTTATGTTCATAAAATCACTAGTGAAAACTCACATCACCCGAACCTACATCCAACATCACATGTAATATGAGCTCGAGATGTGCCAGGGAGCTTTCAAACAGCTGTATGCTTTAACCCGAACTCATTAGAAGGGAAACGTGTCGGTGTATCCCAGAGTTGAAAGACAGAGATCAGAGTGTGTGATGAAACATTGAGAGGGGCTCGTCTTTAAAGAGCTCTGACTGTTCTGCTTTAGTGTGAGACTGTGCTGTTAACTCCTCTTCACATGTGTCACACGCCGACTTCAAACACACAAGTGAAGGATGTGCACAGGAACAATGTGCGAGATCAAACTGCACTGTTAAATCTACTCCAGCACCTGATTACCAGTCAAACATGTGCAGCCCAAAGAGAGGAAAGCAAACACTAAAGCACACAGGTGTACTCTGTTACATACATACATTTACTCTAAGCTGAGTAATATATAGTACAGTGTAACAATACTCCTACTCACTGTTGGGGAGTAACAGATTACATGTACCACAGTTACGTAATCAGAGTACAAATTATGAGTAACTGTATTCAGTTACAGTTACTGTTTTAGTGAGTGGTAATTGGATTACAGTTACTTTGTTGAAATAAATGGATTACACAGAGGGATTTTCCTGTTTTCACATTTTGGGCTATTCCCCTTTTTTTTTTTTTCTCGGTAATTCCACTCATTGCCAGACACTAAACCAGGTCTAAACCAGGTCTAAACCAGGTCTAAACCCGGTCTAAACCCGGTCTAAACTCAGGTACAAACCAGGTCGAAACCATGTCTAAACCAGGACTAAACCAGATCTAAAACCAGGTCTAAACCCAGGTCCAAACCAGGTCTAAACCAGGACTAAACCAGATCTAAAACCAGGTCTAAACCCAGGTCCAAACCAGTTTCAAACCTGGTCTAAATCAGGTCTAAAACCAGATCTAAACCAGGTCTAAACCAGGACTAAAACCAAGACTAAACCAGGTCTAAACCAGGATTTAACAGGACTAAACCATGTTGCACGGACCATGACTCCTCCTCTTCTATCAATAATATTTTAAGTAAAGTAAATTATCTTTTAACAGACAAAATATCTTATGTGAAGATTTCCTCGTTTTTGCTTCTCTACAACAAACCAAGTAATCCAAAGTATTCAGATTACGTTACTCACTTTAAGTAATTTAATGGATTATGTTACAAACTACATTTTGGGGTATGTAATCTGTAATCTGTAGGGGAATACATTTTAAAAGTCACCTTCCCAACACTGCTCCTACTTGAGTAAAAGTTGAGCTTCCTCTTGCCCCTGTGAGTCTGTGAGTCTAAACCAGAGGTGAAACTCAAATTCACAGAGGCTAAAATTAAAAACTGGGACTAAGTGATGGACCAAAATAAATATTTATTTAAAAATTACAGCATTACTGCATGTTTTCTCTATGTAATGTTAAACCTTTTCTTATTAAAGTAAATGTTTAATAATAGTTTTGATTAAACATTGAATCCAGATCATGCAGAACATAAAATAATACAAGTTTAAATAAATAATAAGTCTCTACAGTCTATCTGTAGCCAGAGGGCAGCGCTAATACAGATTTGATATGATCTTGTGGGCCAAATATAATTTTATCGAGGGCCAAATTTGGGTCTGAGTCTAACATGTCTGATCTAAAGTGACAAAATCTTTATATGGCAATATGAAATGATCTGAACATTTGTGTTTCTTCAGATCTGATTTAGTTTGTCTCATGTTTGTGTCTGTCCTTTGAAAACACCAGATTTTGTGCATTATTTAATGTTTTGTCTTTCACATTACATTAACTTCACTTTATAAATCTGTTACAGCACAGAGAGGTGGGTAGAGCAGCCAATAGCTGTCCTTAAGTAAAAGTATTTTTACTTAAAAGTAAAAGAACAAAGTAGTGGTCCAAGAAAATGATGAGAGTAAAGAAATATTTGGGGAAACTACTATACAAGTATGAATAATTGTAGGAGTACCTGTCTGGACAACATCTAGGTACTCACTGAGGTTAATGTAATTTAAAGGACAAAACATTAAATAATACACAAAAGTTTATCTTTTCAAAGGGCAGACACAAAAATGAGACACTAAATCTGAAGGAACACAAATGTTTCAAATCATTTCAGATTGTCACATAAAGTGTTTTTGTCACTTGTCACTTGTCACTGTACTATATATTACTCAAGTAAGAGTATCAAAAGTTGTACTCAAAAACTTTTGGTCTGAGATTTTTCATTTATACTGTACCATATACAAGAAAATGATACTGCCTGATAATTCTGTGCAATTAATTGAATTTTGATCACGATTTTGATTTGTGTGTTAAACAATCTCCAAACTCATATAATCGAGTTGAAAAATCTTAACAAAGTTTATTATTTCTAATATAAATAAGCATATTTATTTATTAAATGTAAAGATTGCAGAACAGCTGGATATACATCTTATTTTGGATACATTTACATTTTTTCTGCCTTATTTCATGTTCAAAGTTTATGTTTTATACATCGCAAAACTGCTCTAAGGTTCAGATTTGTAGCCTATATTTATTTTCAATTTGAAAGTTTTGCATAAATGATCAATAACAAAGTATAACTAAAAATTATATATATTATTTTAACAGGAACCATAAGGAGAGAGCAAATTACCCCATTACTTCCTGCTCATTTTAGAATTGATTTTAAGATTTTATTGTTTGTTTTTAAAGCTTTGAATGTTCTGGCCCCACAGTACGTCTCAGACCTCATCCACATTTATACCCCCGCACCAGGAGGACAGGACCTTCTCTGTGGTTGGCCCAAATCTCTGGAACTCTCTGCCCCCCCACGTCCCAACAGCCCCCACAGTGGAGAATTTTAAGTCTCGTCTTAAGTCCCACTTTTATTCTGTTTTTTAAAACCGCATGAGTTGTGTGCTCCTCTGGGTTTTTTATTTATTTGATTTATTTTGAATGTATTTTATTGGTTTTATTTATTTATTTATTGCTATTCTATGATTTTGCTCTTTTTTTATTATTTAAAGACTAATGTGATTAAATCTGAGCATTTATTTTATCATTTAATTATTGTTGTTATTATGTATTTGTGCAGCACTTTGGAAACTGTTTGAAATGTGTGACAGAATTAAAGTGGATTGGATAAAAAAAAAATCATCGTTTGAATAATCCCGATTTCATTATTAACCAAAATAATCGTGACAATGATTTTTTTTTTCCCATAATTGAGCAGCTCTGGTGCTTGGAAATTCAAATCAAACACTGACACACTCCCCGACAGTTCAAGAAACCATTTTGTTTGGCGTGATTATCACAAAGACGACTCTTCTGAGGGAATGGAAGAGCACAACACCTCCCAGTTTCCATAAATGATTAAACTATACAATGTTCTGTTTGTATCTTGAAGAGATTGGTACAATCTGTCGGACCAACGAGATACATTTATGAAACTTTGGGGAACTTTTCTAGGTCAAATTAAACAGAGGACTCGACCTCAAACTTCAAACTTCAAAATGGGAAACCAAATAAACAACATATTGAAAAAAGAATATCAAAAGTAAATATAACTTTTGACATTCAGGCCAAAATCAGCGAGCATTACTTCCCTACATTTCTCTAACTTTGTAACGAGCGCTGTCTGCTAATGATGTGTTTGCAAACCGTAGGATTGAACCGTTCGCGTCGCTGTCTCGGAGCTGTAATGAGGCGAGATTATCGGAGCGGCTAGTCCTAATTCCTCTGGTAAATTCCTGCGCAGTCCCAGACAGTCGCTCCCATCTGTCAGGGGGGAGGGGGGGCTGGATTAATGTGTGTACATCCGATACTTGTTCACACACAACCCCGCCACTCCCAGCGCCGCTCTCCACGCTGATTAGCCCAATTAACCGCTTAGCAAACAGGTCAACCACAATGGCCTGTCACCAGCAAACACAAACCAGATGAATGACTTTGGCTTTGGGCTGCAGGTGTGGTCACGATGCTGAAATTTCAAACTCCATTTCGATACTAAGGAACAGACTCGATGCTAAACACTGATTCCGATACCACGAGTACGATTTTGATAAATAACCCACTTTTGCCGAGGAACTGCTCAAACTCCCATTTCCCGTTTTTTGTGCTTTATTTAACCAAGATGTGATGATTAGTGCAGCAAATAACAGAAAACCTGATGTTTACAGCGACTGAATGGATAGGCTCTGTTCTCTGTGCTGCGCACGATCAGCTTCAGCTTCACTGAAAAATCAGAGGAACAGATGACGTTGCTGTGAAAGTGACATAGCGGGGAGGAAATGGAAGCCGTTTTGGTGACATGACTTCAGTTTGCCAATTGGGAGGAAGCAGCAGTGTGATTGTAGCTGCTGTGGCTTAAGAGAAAAGTTGTGGCAAAGCGGCGAGGAAAAGCAGGAGACGAAGCAGCAGGAATCGCAACAACAAGGTTGGCAAAGCAGTCGCCAGGCCATCATAATAACGGCCGACAAAAACTGTAAATTATAGTCATACTGGTTAAGGCTGTGCAATTAATCAGAGTTTGATCGCATTTTCAATTTGTGTGTCAAACAATCTCCAAACTCATAATTGAGTTGAAACAATAAAGTTTATTTTGGGATTTTATTTTATTTATTTTTTTTATTTGAAAGTTTTGTGTAAATTACCAATAACAAATTCTTAATTTTAATTTTTTTTATTATAATTTTTTTTATTTATTTTTCCATAATTGAGCAGCACTAATATTGGTTAAAAAAATTTGAGTACGATAATTTCCCAGTTTTGCTGAGCAAGATTTTTATGAGAAAGGAATTAATCGCCTGCCCCAAATTGCCACCTGGTCTCAAATAAATGCCTGGTCTGTTCAGTGATTGGAACAAATAAACACCCCAGATATTATTTGGTATTTTACAGTGTAATACAAAACTCTTTCTTTAGACAATAGAATGTGATTCTCAACATTAAAAAGAAGTATTTTCTTTTCTATTCCCAGTGATTCAATAGGTTCATAGTGTCCATGTGTGTATACTAGTCTATGTGCTCTTCTGCTTGTCCAAGATCATTCAGGAAAGGTTCATTTCTGTTCTGTCAATGGGACTTTATTTCTTAAATGAGTATCTCATTTCAATTATCATTTGGATTAGCATCTGATTTTTGATCCTTTTGACAACACTCTGGGCCATAATGTTGAGGTGAGTAACACTGAAGCTGCTGTAAGTCTTCACACATTCAAAAGAAACTACACGTGGCTTAAGTCGGGCTAATCGGACGTGAGACCAGATGGTCGTCCCCAGCTCGTACAGGACGGACGCCTGAGACGAGAGACGGGAGGATGGAGGGATGTGGTACTGAGCTGTTTCACCCCTGTTGGTCTGGTTATGGCCAGACACTACAGGGAAAACTCTTTTTTTGAGTGTTTTTTGGTCAGTTTGGTCTCAGAACACAAGCTTTCAAGTGGCACAACTAAAGTATTGAATTTGCACCAAAAAGTGTTCTATCAACTTGCAGCCATGACGTTCTATGGATGTTGCAGTTTCAAATTTTGTTACTCAAAATGCATTTCACCTCACATAGAAATAAAGATCACCCTTTAAATTAGCACGTACCTACACCAAACTTTACAGTCTTGTACTTAATAAGTATTTTTGATCTAATTCCAAGTCTGATTTATGCAAAGTTTTATCCCTTAACTTAATGAGGTAAAATTTTAATATTTAGGCACATTTTCAGTCAGATTTAGTTTCCTCAAACACTAAGTAAGATGTGCACAATCCCCTAATCTGTCACTTCTCAGCAGGAGTTGAGCTGCTTCAGATTTTACCAATGTTTGGATTTCTGATTTGGATTTTACAAGCGTCTCAGACATATTCGCTCCACGTTTGGTCACTGGAGGGAGCTGCCGAGGCGTCAGAGCTGCAAAAGTTGACTTCAGAGGACGTGACAGCTGCACAATATGAGCCTGAGAACAACCCGGCGAAGATATGATGAATTTATTACCTCTGTTACCAAATACATAAATACACGGCTCAATGTCATACATGACTGGAGCTGCCTGATGTGATGATCAAAGTCCAGTCGTGAGCTCATTCCTCTGACAATTCATATGTTTGGTGAAATCGTCTTTCATTTTCACTTGAATGCAGCTCTATGATTAAACACAGACAC